ACATTAAGTAAAAGTGTGTAAGAGAGTAAATGATAATCCGATATGCATAAATTCTTACACATAAAACCAACCTTAGCATCTGGTGCTGCCATAGTGTTTTCAGCACCCCAAGGCACATTGTGAAGCCAGACAGAAATAAAAGGTCCATTTACAACTCTCCAATTCAGATTCTCCACGTTAATTTCAGGTCCCTTATAACCGAGCCTTTGTAACCTCACAGGTTCCACATCAATTGGATCCCTGTTGCTGACTTTGTTAGTAGAATTGCCAGGGTAACTAGTGGAATCCCCGTAAGCTTCAAACCCAGGTGCAGGCACAAAATAAATACATCCAAAGTAATGCCTCAATTGGAAGATTCGAGTGAGACTCTAAAACAGTAGGTAATGAAAAAGAAAAAAATTAGAAATAACTTCAATCATTGTACTTCAAAGTAATTGTAGCACGAGTATAACAATGAAAACATATTATTGTTCTAGATTCGCACTGAGGTGTGGGTGCACCATGTTGATAGGAATCGGCAAAGACTACTAGCAAAATATGATTTTAGTTTAAAGCATTCTACATAAGCACAAACAGCTTTAGATTGTAAACTGCCCCCAATTAACGTACATGACTTTATTATATGATGATTAAATGCTATATCATTTATGTTCTTGCCTTCAACCCAAGTATTAGATAACTGAAACAATAATCCATATCAAGAGACACATTTAATGAAAGAAAAGTGTCATAAATAAACATGACATGGTAATATTATGACATGGCTTACTAACATAAAAATCTATACGAGCACTTCCCATCCACCGATACTTTTCAGACTCGATGTCAATATCGGCCACCAGACCTGAAATAGAATAATATTTTCAGTGGATATCATAAACATGTCTGAGTGAATCTCAGGGTTAGAACCAGAAGCAGGCACAACTGTCTTAGATGTTTTTGCACGTCCACCTCATTGCCAAAATCCAATATATGGTGAAGGTAATTACCCCATGCAAGCATCAATATACTGAAAAATCTGGTTTCCCCTTGCGTGATAGTGGCCACATCAAGGGATCGCTTATGGCCTGACAGCATTAAATATAACGTTAGTACTTTATAGTTTATATTAGCACACTGAAAAAACAATGTTATTGGTCAGGATATGACATGTTGGTATGACAATGAATTGAAACCTCGTATGATGGCTAGAACAGCATTAGCTACTGCACAAGGATCACCAACTGAATCGAGAAGAGACTTTGCCATGCCATTTCCCGTACCTTCAAATAGAACCATTCATTTTGTATGAATGTCATGGAAGAGATAATTAGAAGATTAAACCACTTCCCACGAATGTAGTTATACACTTATACAGATTTAGTTAAGTTAATCTTAAAACATAACTAAATCTATATAACTACACTCATTGTCTACACAACGGAAAAAGGAGGATAAAACCTGCAGGAACAACTCCAAGGGGCATCTTTATTGCAGTATCCCAGTCCTCCCTTTGAAGCAGTCCATTTACAACCTACTAAAAATGTGGGACCTAGTAACTGAATACTTACTTATCGCAACCAACAACAATTTACTTAATGTCCAATGAACTAACCTCGACCAAAATCCCATCTCCACTAACACAAACAATCCCATCGTACTTGGAAATATCAAGGGACTGAACAACTTGCTTTGCATGGAGCTGATGTTCGGTTTCTGTGATAATAAATAATAATAATAATATTAATCACACAAATTAACTAAATGAATAAGTGCATGTTTCGATACTCTTTTTTTTAAGCTAGAAACTAAGTATAAGCTAGGCCAAACAGGTTTTGGGAAAAGCTCTTACAATGAAAAGTTCTTTTTTTATAATGAAGAAAAAAGTTGAAAGTTAAAAGCTCTTAGAAGGAGCTTTTTTTTTAAGCTCTTTTACTTGAATTGTGTAGATTTTTTTTAAATGAAGAGTTATAAAGATAGAGAAAGATAATTTTCTTGAAATATGTATTTTTAATAACTTTTAATTTAAAAATTTTATGTAATTATCAAGCAGCTTTCAACTTCTTCTTTTTTAAGCTTATAGCTTCTAAGCTAAAAAAAATTCAAACAAACTCTAAAGGAAGGGTTAATCATGAAGCATGTGGATCAACTAACACAGGGTACACTATGATTCTCTTGGCTCGACCCGATTAGTTGAATAATCAATAAATGGGAGAAATCTCAAAAATAAATAAATAAATGAAAGGTTAAAAAAAATGGAGCAATGAATGAAAAAAAAACCAAAACCTTGAACTGTAAGTTGCAATTGTGCATCTTCAAGAAGAGGTTTTACTTGGTCACGAAAAATATTGGTAGCAGCTTTCTTTCCCCCAAATGGATTAACAAAGACAAAAAGCCTCTTAGGGCGTCCTGTTCCATTCAAAATCTAAACTTTGCCACACATAACCAACAAAATTAACGAAACAAACAAACAAACAAAACAAAGTGATTCAAATTAGTTACCGAGAGAATCGATAATTTCGCGAAGCTTCTGACACCAGAGCCTATGCGATTCCTCCGACGAGGGCCGAAACACGACGTCGTTTCTAACCAGTCTTCCTCTGCTACCACAAGCGCAGCAGCCATCTCTGGCTTCCACCACGGTTTTGAGCTTGATGTTGGGACCGTCGGCGACGAACCCAATAACCTCTTTTTCGATGGTCAAACTCCGTTGACTTCCCTCCGGCCACCAAAGTCTCCCGTCGCTGAGCAGAGCTAGTGGTGTTACCGTCCCGTTGACGACGACCCGGTCCGAGATTATTGTGGGGCCCCGTTCATCGGATCGGTCCATTTTGTACGACAGCCGGTGGACCGGTTTGATTGAAACCACTAGACCGAAAAAAACTAAATAAACCGGTTTTTGGGGGGACAAAATAATGCTTATGGCTTTTGGGTTATGAATAAACAAGTTTGCTTGCGTTTGCACGCCACCCAAATTATTCTATTAATTTCTTTTTCCTGACCCCACTACTTTATTGATAAAATTTAAAAATATTAATTATCTACATTTTAATTTTTGATATATGTGTAGTGTTTGTGACGTTAATTTTTTATATATGACGATTGACGAGTAATCTCTTTTAACTAATTAACTATTTTGTTTTTCCGGGATATTCACACACCGTCTGTGAATACTACAAGCAGTCATTTTTTATAAAAGAGGGTGTTTAAATTTATTTATTTTGAAGTCATATTTTTTTTAAGGGAGTTTAAAAATAAGCCGTCATTTTTAAAAATTAAAGTAATCTCTTATTATTAATACGCCTTATTTATTAAATTATATATATATATATATATATATAAGTGATTATTTTATTTTTATCTAATTTTTCTATTTCGTTCTGAATTTTTTCTATTTTATCAAATCTTAAGATTGAATTCTCTTTTAGTCCAAATGTGTATATTATTTATAAGGAGGGGGTGAGGAGTTTTAATGGTAACTAAGGGGATGTATAGGATTGAGATTTTAAGAAATTATTTTTGGATAAAAAATTTATTGATATTCAATTAGAATTTTAAACGATTGTAGAAAAATCACGTGTATTCGATTAGAATTTTAAAAGATTATTTTATAATTCGTCCAAAATCTGGTGGTATTCAATCATTATTTCAAACAAATAAAAAATAATTTTGTGGTATTACAAAATCTGACGATTTTAATGGATTTTCTATTAGTGTGAATTTTATGAGATTTTTTTGTGAAAAGTATAAATAACACACCTCTCTCACAATCTCATTCTAACCTTTGGGATTTTTTGAAATTTCTCTATTATAGTATCTCACAATCTATCCTAACTTTTTCTTAAAGCCAAGGTATCTTCTTTTTTTTACTCTCATATATTTTCTCTAGTTTTGACATTCCTTTTTATGTTATTCTTCTCATGATTAATTAATGAGTTATGGTTGTGATTGTGTCTCTAATGATGTGTTCAATTCTTTTTTATATAATCATAGCACGGGTAATACACGATAAACATGTTTAAAAAATAGTATATTACCGATAAAATTTTCTCAAGACCTTTTATGCACGATATTAGGCACACAATGAAAGACAAAATTTCAATATTCATTTGTAGAATAACAAGAAAAAATTGATATTATTATTACATAACTTGTTTTTGTCACTTAGTTAAAACAATATCTACTCAACAATGTTAACTATTCTCGTACCATAATAAATGCAAGTTACTATTTGACAAGATAATGAGTAGAAGAAGCCCATTGCATAGTACATATGTCAGTTTTTTCACTTTATGAGCTATTAAATTGGGATAAATACATTTGCATTTAATATAAATAATTTCATATAATAATTTAATAAATATTTTAAAAATATTGGTGAAAATGAAATAATTTTTTTAAATATGAATAACATGCTCTATCACACTAATAACATGTAAAGATATCACAAAGTTTTAATAAAATTTGTACATAGAAATTTTTGATTTGATTATCCTTCTTAAGAATCACCTTTGAATATTTGTTAAAAATTCATATAATTTTTTTAAAATCTTATAAATTCATATTGTCATTTCAAATCTTACAAATTCTATTAAATTTTTTTAAAATACAATCTTATAAAATTTTGATCGTAAAAAATGTGTTATAAAATAATCTTTAAAATCACTACAATTTTAGATAGTCTTTTAAAATCTCTAAAAAAATTTATCTCAAAATAATCTTTTAAAATTTTAATTCAATACATTTTTTTAAGCCTAACTCAAAACTAGTCTCACACTTAGTTTGAAGAATTGAAAGTTGTGAAAATATCGCGAGCCGTTGAACAGGTAATTAGGGTTGATGTAAAGTATTATTTTCTTCAATCTTGAAGACATTTCTATTTAAATTTATGCTCTTTTAAATTCTAGCTGATTTTTTTTTTTTATATCATATTTATTAAATATTTGAGCGAAAAAAATTGTTTAAAATTACAACTATATAATGGAGCAACGAAAAGCAAGGGTTTTTGTTTTTTGGTACAGTAGGTTGTGGTTGAGGGGAGATGGAAGAGGGAGCAGTGGGAGTGTTGCAGCGGAAAGGGAAAGGGGGACACCTTAAGAAGAGGGCTTTAAAGAACAAAGCTTTGGGTGTCACTTTCAACGAGAAAGATCTTCAGGACTATGTCGGTGGTTTTCACAAGCGAAAGAAGAAGAGAAGGAAGGAAGCCCAGAAACAACAAGAGGAGGTGCTGAGGCGGAAACGCAGCGAGGAGCGCAAAAAGGTGTACTCTTTTTTTCTTCCTCCAATAATTATTCATTTATTTTTTTACATTCCCATGTCACTGCTCTCTAATTACTTGCATGCTCTTTTGTTGTTATATTATGATTCATTAAAATAATTAATTATTCATAGGAATCAAATGATTCCCTCTTGAACATATTACAATCCAATTGCAAGGTATGGGATTTGGAGTCTGTCGTCAGAAAAATAAGATTACAGTGTGGGGTTTATATAGACTTTTTGGGCTTAATCTTTTTTAGGGTGAGATTCTCCCAGGTTCGTATCAGAACATTGCTAAAATTTGGATATGAAGAAATTATATGAGGAGTAATTTGTTTGTTTCATTCCTATTGGAGGGTCTGGGTTGAATTGAATCTTCTGCATTCCCATTTTTCAAATTCCTTGTTGTATGACACTTGAGACTCGGGACACAGAATTACATGTCTGCATTATGGTTTTGCATATTTGCAAAGGCACTTCTATGTTTAGTTTTCTTATCTATCTCAGTGGACTAATTTTGCAGAGGAAGTTGGAAAGAGAATTTGTTATGTATGGAGGCGTAGCACCAACCGCTGACTCTCGACCAGATGAAATTGACGAGTGCCAAGAAGAAGAAGTTGAATCTACTTCTGGTACATTTTTTTTTAACTCTTCATCTGTGTAAATTGGGATATTTCTCTAAGTTGAATAGAGTTACATGGACAAACCCCTGTACACAAGACTTTCCGACTTACGAGAGGGAGGGGGGAGGGTCAATTTTACATAGCTTTATCTTTGTATTTTTGTAAAAAGGTTGTTTTCCATACTTGAACCCTTATATAGTTACATTTGATAGAGTCAATTTGTTTCTTATCGGTTTATTTATGCACGAGTCATTTCATACTTTGTTGGTGATAAACTGATAAAGCATGAGAATATTTTTGAGCTCCTTTTTGGACATACATGCATCCACAGGGAATCCTTCATCATTCATCATGGCATGTGACCAGAGTTACACATCGTGTTTAACTTAAGTAGCTTAAAGTTTTAACTAAAACCTGTCTGAAGCTTCTTTACTTATAAATGTCAAGCTATTTAATGGAATTTTAGCATATGATGTATGATTTCCTTCTGCTTTCGGTTTGTGACTCATTTGATAATTGGATTTACCTTCTGTTGTTGAAAGGAACAAAGACATATGAAAATGCTGATTTGAAAGTCACAGTCGTAACAAGTGAGATCAACCCCGAAGAAGAAAGTTATCCTAGTGAAAGGAAGATGGCAGCAGTGTCCCCCCTTTCTGTTGTAGCTGATAAAAGGCACAATGTGCCGGTAAATAATAAGAAATCTTTTAAAAAGGTTGCAAAACACAAGTCACGGCCAAAGCCAAGAAGTAAGAGAGATAAAAAGAAAGGGAAGAAGCCGGGAAAGAAGTAATGGTAGCTGGGCACTCAAGTCTACAAGTAACTGTATTCTTGTGGAGGTGATTATTGAGTTCAGCAACTTATCTACTGAGAAGGGAGAACTCATGCTTGCTTATTGCAAAGTTTGGGCTTGTTTCATAGTTATCTAGTTGGGGTTACATGGTTCCTAATGTCAATGACTGGATTTTCTTCTGCCGGGGTCATGTGTCTTCCTGATTTTAGCTTTGATCCATTATGGGGAATTTAAGGATTAAGGAAGATACGATGGCAGACACAAACACCTAATTTTTCTGTTTTCCGTTTTCTGTTTTTCTTTTCTTTTTTGCTAATCGGTAATATTATTGTGTTGTATACATTCAAATCATGCATAGTTTTAATTTTCTAGTTTTACATATTTTTTTGGGTTCTAAAATTTCAGCTTCTGACCCAAAGAGAAGCCTTTTCAGTTTATGTTTTTGTTTTTTGATGCTATAGTTCATCCATATGTAGGGTTTTCTAATGAATCAAACCCTTTATCCTCTGTCGAAGTCTATGTACTCAGCTAATAATAAGTTAAAGCTGGTTTCAAAGATCAGAGCGGTTGCCAGTTGGTTATATTTATACCTTAACCAAGAGTTTTCTATGCCATATCAGCAAAACTTGTAAGAGTTCAAACGACTGTTGACCTCTAGGGATTTAATTACAAAAATTTAAAACAATAAGAACAATAGTTAAAAGTTTATTAATTTTAGTGGAGGAAGGTTAAATTTATAAATTTTTTATTTACAAATTATATTATGTCAATATAACTTTCCTCATTTAGTGACTTAGTTAAAAATTTAATGAAACTAAGCGTTATTTAACCAAAATCGAAATATATCATCTTCATTTTGGGCTAACGGAATATGATACTACCACGAGTGTGGATCTCCAATTGCAGGGCACCAGAACAAATAACAAGGTTTGGGTATTATACGTATGTTTGCATCTCAATTCAATTGTCTTTAATGCATGCATATTTGCTGAAAAAAGGAGACTAAACTTCCAACTATATATTTATAACATTCAAACTTCCATGTTCCAACATTCTAAGCTAATTTGTCAACTTTCATCCTACCTTTATACATCGTAACTTGAGATATTCATTATGCATTATATGTAGCAGAATAACTTCTCAAACACGAATAGATGAGGATGAGGCATATTTTAATGAAGTCCTAGCATAGGCTAAGGTTTGATTTATATATTACTCGGTTGATGTTGGACAAAACTTGGTTGCATCTGAAATCGAAGGACCACCTCGCATTTAGGAATAAATTTTTGATGCTACTGTTTGCACTAAAGATTCAGTATATTCCACAAATAAAAATATTACATGTCAGCTAAAGTTTTTTTTTTTTTTTTGCCAAATTTTTTCTCTCTCCTATGATGTGTAATGCTCTCATTGGTGAGATGCACTGAATCTTGGTGCAACAATAGCACCAAAAATTTATACCGCATTTAGAGAAGTTAGCCGGATAATATGTAGAGGCCCAAGACACAGATCAGACCTAAACTTGATGTCTTGAACTTTTTACACATCATATATCAAATCCGCTAAACATATTTAGAACCTTTATATAATTAATCAAACAATTAAAGACCTAAAATTAGGTTTGGACTAGCACATATTGGTCATATTGCAATCTAAGAGTGATGTTTGTAACAGAGATATTGTTAGTGGAGTGCAAACATTGAATTTCAGGAGAAAACTATAGTTTAAACTAAGGGAAAGACAATTTTCATGTTACATGAGATAAGTTTTCTTTCTTACACACCCTTCGATAACTGTGCCATATTTTTCTTTTCTTTTCTTTTATATTTTCAAGTGGTGGAGTCCATAAATTTATCTCTATGACATGAGATAACTATCTCCTTTAACATGAGATTAATAAAACCATTAAACTAATATGCCTATGTATTTGCCATGAAGGAGGAAGAATGTTAACAATCTCAATTTTGCTATAAAGCTATTTAAAACGCATAAATGTTATGAAATAAATTTGTGAATGTTTTACCTCCCTACCGCTATAGCTTTTTTATTATGAGTAGTGTAATCACTTGTACACAGATTATTGTTCATGATTACTATTCATACGCGGGGTACTGTTTAGTACTGTTCATGGTTACTGTTCATACACGGCTTACTATTCAATACTATTCATATGCGATTATATGCCGATAACCATTCAGTACTGTTGATACGCGTAATAATTACTATTCGTACGCATAAATCATTTGTGTAAATAGTGAAAAAAAAATTCTATAAATAAGGACATCCTTCATAATTCTTTGTAATAAAAATCTTAATACATTTTCTTTCTCTGCAGAATTTTATTTCTTTGTCTTGTATTCCCTATCCATTTTATAACAATAAGGAGGTGTTTGGTTGAGGAGAAATTTTTTGAATACTAGAAAAATGTAATTGATAAGGAAATGGTTGGAAAGTGAGTTTGGTAGAAAAATATAAAAAAAATTGTTTGGTGGAAAAAAAATTTATCGGGCAAATTAGGTAAGACTTATAAAGTCTATGTTTGGCTTTAGTTAAAATATAGATGGGAAAAAAATTTGTTTTTACGAAAATAATCTTGTTTTTAAAAAATCAACAAACTTTGGTTTCGTACTCAACGCTTGCTTTGATGAGGAACTCAGTTTTAAGCTTCTCTGTTCTTGTCAAAGCATTCATTTTTTCAACCTCTCCCTACAACTCTGCTTCTCTCGGTACCACAGCCTTAGTGGCCTCCACCTCCGCCACCTGCGCCGCCTTTTCCCACATAGCTTTTTTCTTAGCAAGCTCAGAATTTGCCTCTGCTACCTCTGTTTCTCTCTCATTCTCAAACACCTTCACTTCAGTCCTCACCTTTTTTCCCTCCTTCTCACCCTCTCCTTGCCTCAGTAACGATATGATTTTAGTCTCTGCATCAATTTTCGTTGCAGAGGTACGTTGGTCATATTATCGAGTTGGTCTGTTTAGCTTTAATAACCGCATCAATAAAAGTAAACTGTTTATCTTTCTTCACCGACGAGGGTAAGTTGGTCTATATTTGGTTGCCCATCTTGCATTTAGCCGGTTAACAAGAAAATACCACCATGAAGATGTCTTTTGTAAGAGTAACTTTTCCTTGTTTTTTACAAACATTTCTCGAAAGCTATGCAAATAGAAGTGATGGAGAAATACTTAAAAACTCTGTACCAAACATGGACATCACTCTTCCCCACACTCAGGTGCATAGGAAATTTTTTGAAAATCTTGAACCCAATTCCTACGGTGATGAATATAAGCGCAATTGAAATTTCTGGAGAGTTATACATTTGTGTATTAATAAGACCGTTCACTATTTCTTGAAGCTCGATCTCTCCCCGGATGAACCAGGTAGCCGACCAAACACCACCTAAGATAAATTTATTACTGCTGAAAATGTGAATTGAATTCAAACCTTAATAAATAGAAAAAACATTAGCATCTAAAATCTGACGGCTAGCACCACGCCACCTTATAATGATCGGACGGACCCAATCACTCCACGTGGAAAAATCTTAAAGCATCGATAATGATCCACAATAAACGGCCTAGATCTCCTGTTCATCTATATGCTCAGACAAGAACGAAAAAACGGAGTTTGGGAGTGTTTTGTGGCGTGCGACAAAATAAGCGTCAGATTGCAAAATAGCGTTTGAAGCGGAAAGACACTTCCCGGAAATTTCTCAGATTCCGTACCTTTCAACCTTTCCCGCTTCCTTTTCCTTTTTCTCGTTTATTTCGTTTGGCTGCCGAGAAAACGAAGGAAAAGTAGAGCAAACTGCAGATTTTTCCCTCTTTTTTTTTTAATTTTTTTTTGGCTTTATTTTGAGGTTCCGAGTCAAACTGAACTGTTGAGGTTTACGTGACTGAAAAACCCTACTAGTTCTGATCTTTTCTTTCACTTTCTCGGTAACCAAACAACGCTGTTCAGTTTGGAGTTGGAATAATGAACGGGAGGTATGTGGAGAGATCGAGCGGTGTGGCGAGGGAGAAGCGAAGTTTGGATTCGAGTTCTGCTGAAGAAGGACAACCAGATCGGAAGCGACCTGCTTTGGCTAGGTTATAACTCAGCTTTTTGCTTCTATTTTCTGATTCTTCAAGTTCCCTGAATTGTATTGTTCGTTAACATTGTTATCACTTTGCGCTACTAATAATATTTGCATGAAAATGATGGAGAAGTAGTGAATTTGAATTTTAACCTTAATGTTAAGCACTTATGTTTTCATCTGTTAAAGCTTAATTTGATTTCTTAAACTTGCTTATGGATGCATTTATTGTTTTTTATTCATTTATTTATATTAATGTGCAGTGTAATTGTTGAAGCCCTGAAGGTGGATAGTCTGCAGAAACTTTGCTCATCACTGGAGCCTATTTTACGCAGAGTTGTAAGAAAATTCAGTTCATTGTGGTATTAATTCTTAATATGATAATCTGATATTTTTTTTTTTTTTTAATTGATTTGTTTGACTATATTACCTGAAGTTATCACTTGCATATACTGCTTGCCCAATCAGCCCCTAAAACAGCAACCCCCGTTTATTATCCTTTAGTCCGGTAGGCCTTGGCTCGATCTCAGGCTTAGATAGAATTGGGTAGGAAATCAGTGTTCTGATATTCAAATCGAAAAAGGTAAAGTAATTGTAAAGAATTATTTCTACTCAAAAGCTGAAGTTATTAGGTAAATGTCACATTAATGGTTTTATATTATATTTCTCTAACGCGCCCCCTTACACAAAAGTTCATTGGGTTTGAACGGTGACAATGCACAGCCTCATATACATGTGCTAAGAAACTCCACAATATTTAATTATTTATTAATTGAATGGGGTCGGTGAGGATCTAACTTGTGACTATTTGGTCACAGAGGCTCTGATACCATGTTATTAATATTTCAACCCAAAAGCTTAAGCTATTAGGTGAAGGCTACTTTAATTGTTTTATATTATATTTCTTTAAGTTTAAAAATATTTTTTTTTCCTTTTCAATTTACTCATCTATGAGAGGCTTTCTGGAATAAGTAGTCCTGCAGTGTCTGTGTGTCCGAGTGTTGTCAAATATAATTTAAAGGAACAACTCTGTTAATGAAGTGAATGTATGCTACCTTGCACGAGTAATGTTTTGTTATGGATTTGTGTCTTATTTCTTATTTTTCTGGCTTGCTGCTGTTCAGGTTAGTGAAGAAGTGGAGCGTGCTTTGGCAAAACTAGGCCCTGCCAAGCTTACTGGGAGGTGCTTTTTGTGTCCCCTCAGCTTGTTAAAAAATGTTTGTATGAGGAATATTTGCGTAACACATGGTTTTATAATGTAAATTAAGTCTTGCACGATGCTTTAAAATTTAATACTTTTATCATATAAAAGTTCTCCTACCTTTTCACTGCTTATGCTTTCATGACAAGATTATTTCCTGCATCAACTTGCTTTGCTAGAGGTTGGAATAGTGGAATTAGACAGATGGTATAAGCTTAATGGAGATCCTTTAAAGTCAAAATTTAGTGACCAATGTTTGGTGATTTGTGTGTCTATTTCAGCTTATATTATCGCAATGTGCTTGTAATATCTAAAATTTGTTTCTCTAATACTCAAAAGTAAAATTCAGTTCTTCTCCAAAGCGCATAGAAGGCCCTGATGGCAAAAATTTACAATTGCACTTCAAGACCAGGCTATCCCTTCCCCTCTTTACTGGTGGGAAAGTGGAGGGTGAGCAAGGAGCAACCGTACATATTGTTTTGATTGATGCAAACACGGGCCATGTTGTCACATCGGGCCCAGAGTCATGTGTCAAATTAGATGTCATTGTTCTTGAGGGGGATTTCAATAATGAAGATGATGATACTTGGAGTGAAGATGAGTTTGAGAGTCATATTGTGAAAGAGCGGGAAGGAAAAAGGCCTCTTCTGACTGGCGATCTGCAAGTCACACTGAAAGAGGGTGTAGGAACACTGGGTGAGCTCACTTTTACAGACAACTCAAGCTGGATAAGGAGTAGGAAGTTCAGGTTGGGGCTAAAAGTTGCCTCGGGTTATTGTGAGAGAATGCGTATTCGTGAAGCCAAAACAGAAGCTTTCACTGTTAAGGATCATCGTGGAGAATGTAAGTTCATAACTTCCTTGTATTTGTTATATCATTCTAAGACTTATTGTAATGAAACTTCTATTGGATTATAGTATACAAGAAACACTACCCACCTGCTTTGAATGACGAGGTCTGGAGACTGGAGAAGATTGGCAAGGATGGGTCATTTCACAAAAGGCTAAATAAAGCAGGAATATATACTGTTGAAGACTTCCTAAGACTTGTGGTCAGAGACCCTCAGAGATTGCGGAATGTAAGAATCCAGTTTTATGTCCATTTTATTTTATCTGTCAAAGGTTTTCATAGGTTAACTATCCTTGTGTAGATTCTTGGGAGCGGCATGTCAAATAAGATGTGGGATAGTCTTGTTGAGCATGCAAAGACTTGTGTTCTCAGTGGAAAACTTTATGTATATTATCCTGATGATGCAAGAAACGTGGGTGTTGTTTTCAACAATATTTATGAACTGGGTGGCTTAATTGCCAGCGACCAATATTACTCTGCTGATTCCCTCTCTGAGAGTCAGAAGGTAAGCACGCCTTTACAGAAATTTTTTCATATATGTTTTAATTCGGACCACAACTCTTCCAAGATATGATTAACCTGATCTCTGATGCTATAATGTAAATAAAGTTTGGTTTTTCCTTGCAACCTGGTTGTTGCACAAGCAATTCTTCATGTTGAAAGTGTCCAACTAAAAGATTATGTGCATAATTGGCTTCACAATGTTAACATAACAATGTCCTGTGTTTGGCTGCAATTTTTTTGCTTAGTTTTGTTTTATTGTTCGAGTCTTTCTTGTGTTATGTAATTTTTTTGCTAGTTTAAACTCCTTACTCAGGCATAGGGTATCAATAATAAATGTTGTTTCTGGTACTTGTGTGAATAGATCAGGTAGGCAGTTGACTTAATGCAACTTATTGTAGACTTTTAGTATTACGAAGACAAGGTAGGAATTCTTCTCTTCCAGAAAAGGAAAAATGGAAATTTAAAAAATGTTTACTGTTCAAAACCATAGGTAAAGACAAGATGAAATTTCTTAAAATGCTGATGATTTTTGTTGTAGGTTTATGTAGACACGTTGGTGAAGAAGGCATATGATAATTGGATGCATGTTATTGAGTATGATGGGAAGTCTCTGCTAAATTACAGTCAGGATAAGACTTTGGACACTGCTCATCGTCAGGCTCAAATGGGCCCCCAGGAATATTCAAACTCATTTCCGCAGATTTCCATCCCAAGTTTGCCATTTCTAGAACATACAGGCCAGCCTTCAATGGATTCAGGAATAACAGTTGGAGGTATATATTACCCAGTAAAACATTATTATATTAGCAACAAAAGCAAAACGCCTTTGCAATTGTTTTTAGTTTACATTATTTTTGAACCTCCCTCCTTTTTTTCTTTTCCTGCCGTTCTTCTTCTCTGTATTCTTTTTTGCCAATTTTTTGTTCACTTTGTTCATACACCCACTACTCATAATATTTCTCTTTTAAACCCAATTTCACTAAAAGTGGACAGATTGTATCCCCTACCCGAACTTTCCCTCTCCTCTCCTCTCCTCTTCTCTTTAATCTGATAAAGTTAGCAAATGGAATTTAGAGTGCCGAACATGGTTTAGATAGGATAAGTTTGTAATGCCTATGTAGTGAAAACTTTAACCCATGTGGTAAATGTCAGCAGAAGAGAATTACAGCATTACAGGACCAATGTAGTGAGCTGCTCTCTGATAGGAACCCCACTAATGGTTTATCATAAGAATTGCCACAGGGAATCATTTAGGAAGGATGACTTAGCTAATAAAAGGAATATTCAAGAGGTGAGGTTGTTGGAAGGCTCTAATTCTGTTAGAAGTGATGAGTTGGCAAAGAGAGAGGGTGTGGTGGTTAAAAGGCAACAGGGAAAGGAGGAGAGGCATCTTTGGGCATTTTGGAACCTTGGGCACCTTAGGGTGATTTGGGAGAGACTAGGGGCTCTATAATTCCTCTAGAATTTCAGCTTCTGTAATTAGGATCAGTCACTGTAATTTGTCTATGTTTTCCATTTGTAATTGTCTTTTGGTTTCTTTGCATTCAGCATTACCTTCAGTGAAATATACTGAAAATTCAGATATTTTCTGGGCCAAACGCTGCGCATTCTCTTTGTTCTCTGATTATATGATTCAGTTTCTATCACTCTCATTGCATGTTAATCTCTTGTCTGTTTTACTAACAATAGATGTTTGCCCTTTAAAAAATGGTGAGCCCAGGGGAATTTTTTTATAGCTATATATGAATGTCTGCAGGTTATCATGATGGTACAACTACCAGATACTCCATGCAACCACCGAATGCTAATCATAATTCTTCTATTCAGTTTGATGATAATGCATTTTCAATACAAAACCAGTTGATTAGTGTTTCACACCAAGCTCAACTTCCAACAAATGAAAATGGGCTCACTCTTGGTCCACTACAATCAGCCACACATGGCTTCCAGACTGCCAGCATTTCAAATCCAACATACAGAGGAGTTGAAGACTTCTTCCCAGAGGAGGAGATCCGTATTAGAAGCCATGAGATGCTAGAAAATGAAGATATGCAGCATCTTCTCCGTATTTTTAACCTGGGGGGCCAAGCACATGCTTCCTTTAATGCCCATGAAGATGGATACCCTAGTTCATCTACATACATGCCTGCAACCCCTGTGAGGTACAATTTTGATGATGAGCCAAACCGTTCCTCAGGAAAAGCTGTTGTGGGCTGGCTCAAGCTCAAGGCAGCTTTGAGGTGGGGCATATTTATTCGGAAGAAGGCTGCCGAGAGACGGGCACAACTCGTTGAATTGGATGACTCGTAGAGAACTTGGAGGTACTACTCATTTTTATGATCTGAACAATTTTTCTGGAAATATCATGGAAGGCTTCTTTGCTGAGATTCAAAATTGCCATCATGCTAAAATTTCGTAGCATGAGCAATGACATGAAATCTGGATTGAATTATTTGGCACAGGCTTGACTTTGATTTCACTGTGTCTTAACTCATAAACAGTTGTGCAGAGATCTCTGCCTGTACAAGAATTTCACTCTGCAACAACTCTTATATAGCTGCTTTGCTTGTGATATTTTCCACCAGGCGTTCCTGTCTACAAGTTGTAAAGTCTCGACAGTTTGCTTGTTTTAAACTGAAGTCAATTTTTGCTTGAAATTGGCAGGGCCTAAGTGTGGAATCTCTGGAAACTAGGATCTTTACATTTATGGGGTCTTATTAGTTTTTGCGCAGTATGATGGATAATGTTTAACTAGCTTATGTATTTTGTTGTGTAGTTGCCCTGTAGCGTAGTAGTTATAATAATTTGAAGTGCTGAGCACTTGGAGCACTTTTGTTTACTGCCTCTTTGCCAAATGAATGTTTCAGTAGCCGTACAAGTTTGCATACCTTTTCATGGGATAGTAGTCTTGGGACATCAACTGAGAAAGATGCTGGTTCTCACTTGTTATATACCTGAATATACTTGGCAAAGAAATAAAATCAATTAACTGTGGAATATACAATTCACAGTTCATATGTTTTTGGTGGCAGCTAGCCCAGTTCTGGAGCCTACATGATCATGCAGTGGCTTAGAACTATTGGCAAAATATGGAATTATTTCCAGGCCATGTTTGGTACACAGAATGGAAGTTAAAAGATAAAAGAAGAAACAAAATTCTGGATTGAGTACTTTTTGAAAATATATGAGACATAATTAACTTGTATCGAACCACTATATAAGAACAAGAATTTTATTTTTGATTTTAGCTATTAATTTCATTTATATCTAAATGCTCTAATTGTCATTAATCACACTTATATATAAATAATTAGAAGTATTAAATATAAAGGAGACCAATGTTTAAAATTGAGTATAACACACCAATATAAGTTGATTCTGACCCTGTGATTCGACAGTAATACAATAAAATCATGACAAAATAAAAGCATTCGATTCTTATATAAAAAATGAATTAATATTTTTTATGTTGTAAAAAATAAATTTTATCTCCTATATAAATATCAAAATATATAGAATCTACATTTTTTTTTCTCTCTTCTTTTCGTATGACTTCACATGAACCCTATACATTTTTTTATGTGTAAAAGATAATTTTACACAAAGAAATTCACCAATTACCATGTTAAACTAGATCTCATTAGTGAGAATATATGTTGTGCTATACCTTCCCTCTATTTTTCATACCACTATCGTATTTCCCATATCAAAGGAAAAAAGTTTTTCAGTGGATAGTGGGATAAAAATTATACTACTGAGTTTTTCAACTATTCCTTCAACTTTTAGGCTATACTCGTCTAGTCTTAGGAGAAACAATTCATTTAATTTCGTGCTTTCAAACGAACGCTAATAAGGATATGTACTTGCTACAACTGTATGTTAAAGAACTACGAGGCAACAGATTATCCAAACAACCCCTACCCAAAAATAAAATAATAATAATAATAATAAATAACAACAAATCAAAATGCTAAAAAAGGAAAAATTAATTCAGTGGAGCGAATTATTCTGCATCTGAGACCTCATCTTCATCTTCCTCCAAAATGTAGACCAGGGCACGCTTCCTTGCAGCAAATACACAAGCCACGCCTCTGGATGCTGTTCGCCAGTTATACGAGGGAACAGAGGAGACACAGTTAACCAGTTGAATTGCTTATAGTCAGATTAACACAATAACCAGTTTGACAATGAAAAACTGAGATGAACTATCTTAGGGAGAAAATTTTTTATTATTCAAAAGGATCGACTTCATTTAATTCAGAAGTTTGTTATTTAAAAAAAAAATTAATTTCAAGAACCGTTTAATGATTGATCCTTGAATATAATAAAATAAATCTGTAGATCCCCATATCTAATTTCTCTAAAACATATAATACAAAACCTACATGCATTCCAAATTCTAACACGTCAAAACCTGGACATCTGGATACTGATAAATGTTAATGGAAGACTAAATGGAAAAAACAATTCTTCCCGAATTTGGTTGATTTTTTTTTTCTTAAGCGAAAATATGTTTTGTTGACTTCCTAAATTGGAATTCGTATGCATAACATGCATTTATGTATACTATGCGTCAATCTTTTACGTCTTATTCCGATTTATTAGCTGCACGAAAGATGAAGACCAACACCCCACACTATGATATTAGTTCGTACCAATTATATTGCATGTAATTAAACTTGGGTGCAGATATTCTGCGGTTAAGTAGAATTAGAATATACTTATGATTTAGCATGGTATAAGTTCTCCATCACTTTGATATTTCCCAGGAACTTGTGCTAGGCAGATTGTTCTCGTACAATTTTGATGCTTTTAAGACAGAAAACGAGAGAGTGAGTACTCACCACTAACTGCCAACGGAGCAATTACAGAATGAGGGATGGTGCGAGCTTTCTCATCCCCTATGTGCAGGTAAGCGACAGAATCCTGGATGCACATAAATTACAAAAACATGACTATAATGATGGAATATAGAAATTATATATAGCTTCATAAAGGTTAAATTATGTAAGCAATTCACTTTAGTGGAATTTACTATATTGAACATAGATAATGAGATTAATTCATGGTAGTTTACTAGTTTTAAGCTGGAAAGAAAGGGGAAAATATTTAATATTTTTTCAAAAAAACAAATGCAGTCCTTGAAATATTACTTGATTCTCAATCTGGTCCATAACATTCCATCATTTTGTTGGTCTGATATTTTGTATTTATGTCAAAAAGTTATTTGACTTCTTTCTCTCGGCAGACTCAATAGCCAAATCTGCTAGCATGACTATTCGAAATTGATGTACCACGTCTCACATGGCTCTGATCTTATTATCAGCTATTTGACACTAGCAAAGCAAATAGGGCAGTAAACAATGTGGAGGTGTGGTAATGTGTTAGGTCCCTAAAGGTTTATGCTAGGAAGAGATGCATGAAATCACTACCACTTGCTGAGTCAGCACCTATGCTGTCAGGGGAGAATATATTGCTAACAGAATGCATGATGACAAAAAGTCTAACAAAATGCACCTATGCTAACATGTCTAACAGAATGCATGATGACACCGTGGTTACATAGAGAAAGTTGTATGATAGTAGGCATTCTTGGGAGATTTGGGCTTGTATCAGGAGCGTTACAGAGCTGCTCGAATTGCTCTGAAGGTTGTTTGGGTTATCTTTCTTTTCCAGATTTACTCTTTTATTTGTAATTTTCTTGGTGTTTGTAATTTGGTAGCAGAATTCACTTGTTTCTTCATTACATTTCTGGTATTAGTTGATTCCTATCAATTGGTGTCAGAGCTATCCGATCCGAGTAGCTTTGAACCATGGCTTTGTTACGAAGAAAGCTATGGAGAAAGGAAATTCTCAAGTTCTACGGAGAAGATGATGAAGTTTGGGGATGGTTAATCTAAATGAAACAATATTTTAAGGCGGAGAAAATACATGAAGATGAGAAGTTGACAGAGGTGGTGAAAGGGCTTAGAGGAAGTGCATTTAGTTGGTGCAAATGTAGGAGTTGGCTTAATCAGAATGCAAGGTGGTGGACTTTTTTGAAGGTATTTCTACAAAAAAATACCAGCCTGAGATATGTGTGCAGATGAAGTTGTGGTATTCGACTTTCCAAAGTCAGAATTGCAAACTTTTTTTACAAAGTGAAATCAAAGAACATGGAAAAGAAGAAGGCAAAGATCGTGGAGAAGGAAGCAGCAGCAGCATTTCCAAAACCAGAAACAAAGGCTGTAAAGATGAAGCACATAGTTGACACTTGACAAGGAGGAGATCAAGACTGCTGAGGAGAAGCCTACAATCGAAGGAGTGGTTGTTGAAACTCAAAGAAAATGGAGAAACAAAGGGAAGATAATGATGGTACCAAGAGAACAACCATGAAGTTTTGGAACGAAAGAGCATGACGAAGGAGCTATTCGAAGTAAAGATCAAAAGAATATGAGGAAGGTTCAGAATTCACATGTTCTGGTGACACCACACTCACCGGTGGTGGTAGTCGAACCACCATGATTACCAAAACCACCGAACCTAAAAAGTCATCGAAAAGAGGTGAAAACAGATCTGATTGGAGGCGGTCGGAGGTGTTTGGGTCGTTTGTGGCTGAGAGACGGTGCGTAGAATGATAGATCGAAGAAAAATAAGGTCAATGGTGGTCCTCTTGGTCCAAAAGGTCCCCGAAATTTTTTTTCCAGTGGCTGCTGATGGCAGCAAGAGGCAAAGAAATTAGGGTTTTGCTCAAAAGGCAATAGGCGCGGAAGCAGAGCCTTCAGGATCGAGAGCTCTGATACCAACTTGAAAAAGGGTATTCTGATATATTATTGAATTGTGTGTAAACTGTACAAAGAGTTCTTTATTTAAAGAGACTATATGACCTAATGGACTAAGCCCAATACAACAAATAAATAAATAAATATTATTTACAACAGTATATCATAGAAAGAAACAACCCAAACTGCTTCACCAACAACCTCAATCGTCTGAACCACTGGTAAGTCCTAAATCTCTGGTTTCTGATCGTGATATTAGTACTTCTGATGACTTACCCATTGCTTCTGCTTCTGATGACTTACCCATTGCCCTAAGAAAAGGAAAAAGATCTTGTCCCCAAAGATTTTGTTCCTCTAATCCCTCTTGTACTCAACACCCTATCTCTCATTTTGTTTCTTCTACTAACCTTTCTGTGCAGGACAAAAGTTTTGTTTCAGTACTAGATTCTATTTCAATCCCAAAATCAGTACACGAAGCATTAAAAGATGAGAATTAGGCTCAAGCCATGCAAGAGGAGATGAATGCTTTGGAGAAAAATAAAACATGGAAGGTTGTTGATAGACCTAATGGAAAGAAAGCAGTAGGGTGCAGATGGGTTTATGCCCTAAAGTATAATTCTGATGGTACTCTTGAGAGATATAAGGCTCGGTTAGTCGCCAAGGGTTACACTCAGACCTATGGCATTGATTATGAAGAAACTTTTGCTCCAGTTGCAAAAATGAATACTATGAGAGTCTTGTTATCTCTTGCTGCCCATTACAATTGGAATATAAATCAATTTGATGTGAAGAATGCTTTCCTTAATGGTGAGTTAGAAGAAGAGATCTACATGGAAATCCTGCCTGGTTTTGATTCTGTGGATGGAGAAAATAAAGTTTGTAGATTAAGAAAAGCCTTGTATGGATTGAAGCAGTCCCCTCGTGTCTGGTTTGGGAGGTTTACTAAGGTTATGATGACCTTTGGATACAAACAGAGTCAAGAAGATCACACACTTTTCTTTAAGTGTTCCCAAGATGGGAAGCTCACTTGCTCCTTGTGTATGTTGATGATATTATTATAACAGGTGATGATATTATGAGAGACATATTCTGCAAACACGACTAGCCTCTGAGTTTGAAGTTAAAGACCTTGGGAAACTGAGATATTT